AGGTTCAGGGTGACTTTTGGATGCTCTGCTTGCAGATCTTGGGGAGAGTCTACGCGGTTCTGAGTGACAAGGAACAGAAAGCAGTGTACGATGAACAGGGGACAGTGGACGAAGACTCTGCTGGCCTCAACCAAGACCGGGATTGGGATGCGTATTGGAGATTACTCTTTAAAAAGGTAAAGAGCTTTAGTGGCTTTGACTAATTCCCATCATTCAGTCCACAAGAAACAATTCGCGAAGTTAAAGCAATCTTCTTTGTTATTAGATATCGCTAGAGGATATTCAAGCTTTTGAAAAGACATACAAAGGCTCTGAAGAAGAGCTAAACGATATTAAGCAGGCCTATCTGGACTTCAAGGGCGACATGGATCAGATCATGGAGTCTGTGCTTTGTGTACAATACACAGATGAACCCAGGATAAGAAACATCATTCAAAAAGCTATTGATACCAAGGAGGTTCCATCCTACAATGCCTTCGTCAAAGAGTCTAAACAAAAGATGAACGCAAGGAAAAGAAGGGTAAGTGAATGTTGTTCATAATACATCTCAGCTGCTTCAAACAAAAGGGGGTCTTGGTGTGTTTACAACGATGGAAATAAAGACAGTCGAAATATGAGCTGCTTACCTGCAGCAGTGATCTAACTGGATGGTCAGAAAGGAAACCCTGTTTATTTTGGTATGTCATGCTGAAAATGATTCCACTTTATGGATCGCTTGAAATCACCCTAGAGTGATTCTGAAAAACTTTTCATATGAAGCAGTCCTTGTAGCTTTGCTGTATGGAGCCTTGTGTGGTTAGCCAACAGGGAGAAGATGGCAGTGATTGTGTGTTGTTAGAAGTGTAGAATGGCGGGGTGGTGCTCCCAATACTTGAGCACTGAGGATTGCCGCTTTTGAGGTTAGGCTGTGGTGTCTGACTCTGTGCTGCCTTGGTTGGCTGGTATATGGGAGGTTCCTAATTCTCCAAAACTGCCCAGAAGAGGGGAAGAAAACACATTTTTAAAAAACTCCTGTAAATACATATAATTATTTTAAACACATACACACACACAAAATGAAGGGGCTGGAGAGATGGCTCAGTGGGCATGTACGGGTCTCTTTTCAGAAATCCAAGTTCAACTTCCAGGACCAAGGTTGGGTGGTGGCTCACAGCGGTTTATAACTCCAGCTCCCAAAGATCTGACACCTCTGGTTTCCGTGTAATCATGGGGTAGTCTCTCCTGTCCTCACTCTGAGGAACACAATTGCCTAGAATTTAGGATTGGGACTTGTTTTTCTTCATACTTTCCTCCCTGTTTAACCAGGAATAGTGGGGATTGTGGCCAAGGAGTTGAAGGTAGCAAACATCTCTGCTTATGCTCTTTGGAAAAATTACCCTGGACTGCTGTTAGAGCAACAGTTGCTTCATCTTGGCTTTCGTAATTGGAGCTGCCTGGAGAGCTGGCAATTTACAATGTTAGGTGTCTGCTGGGTACTTGTCTTTTGTGTGGCTCAAGTGGATGGGCAAAGACCTGGAGCTTTTAGAACAAGAACATGCAGAGAGATAAACTGGCCTTAGAGTTTAGGATGAGTTTAAGGGGCTGCTTTACAGAGAAAAGACCGCCACCCTGTTTCATGCCTTAGAGTCATGGCTGCTGCTTGTTAATTACTTTCTCATGTAAAACAGATCAGCTGTATTAGGTCAGGATTTTGGTTTGACAGACTTAGAATTAGAGGGGGGAAGGACAGTTTGAAGGCTGGGTATAGGGATTAAGGGATGCTGAATTTTAAGAGACGATAATAAAACAAAATTTGTTTTTGTTCTGGAATAACAAGATCCCAATTTATCATTATTCCCAGTAGTAATGGAATTCTTTGCTACTTGGAAAGTTTTACAATGAGTTAGGGCCTCACAGTTGTTGCTGTTAGCTGTTGTGGTATTTTGGCAAATTTTGTTAAATGCAGACAGCTTTGAAATCAGGTAAAGAAAGGCTAAAACTGAATTTGCTAATGTTTTTTCTAACTACTCAGAAAACATTTTAAATTTGTGTGTGTGTTTGCATGTGTTTGTGCCTGCCTTTGTGAGTGTGCATGAGTGTTGGGTGCCCACAGCCAGAAGAGGCTGTTGATTCCCTGGAGCTAGAGTGACAGACAACCTGGTGTGGGTGCTGGGCATGTCGTCTGGAAAAGTAAGAAGTGCTGCTAACAGCTGGGCCAGCTATCCAGCTACAGAGAAAGCCTTTAAATTACCGCAGCTCACAAGGCTGCCACCAGTGAGGGGTTTCAGATGAAGATCCTGAAGTGCCTGGTACCTGGCTGTGTGACCTTTCAGTTCACCTAATAGGTTCCTTTGTGTCATATGATTTGGGATCAGAAGTACTTGTGCTCTCTAGGAAGTAGAACTGGGAATAAAATAGAGGATATCAGACAGCTTGCCCTAAGCAGTTCCTAGAACTCCAGCTCTTAACATTTTCTTTAAGGGGAAGAAAAATGTATTTCTGTTATTTCTTGGTTGCCATGGAGTCTGATGAAAGCTTCTCTTCAGGCTCAGGAAGAGGCTAAAGAAGCAGAGTTGAGCAGAAAGGAGCTTGGGCTGGAAGAAGGAGTGGATAACCTGAAAGCACTCATCAAGGTAAATGTGGCAGGCTCCCTCACAGGCCCCTCTCACGGTTATTGTGTATACTGCTTGGAATGGATTTCAGGGTTTTTTGTTTCTTTCTTTTAAGGTACAATTACACATAATTTGTATCATCTTTTTTGCTTTTGAGAATGTACAGTTCAGTGAATTCCCACCCCCGCCCCAAAAAGACAGCTGTCACCACTACAGAGGAAGCACATACCTGTTATTAGTCACTAGTGTGCTTTACCCCAACCCCTCCTAAGGATGAAATACTTTGTCTCAGCGGACAGTGTTGCATTTTGAAAGCTGTGTTTTAACTTCTCAAACAGAACAGACAAAAGGATCGGCAAAAGGAAATGGACAATTTTCTGGCTCAAATGGAAGCAAAATACTGCAAACCTTCCAAAGGAGGGAAAAGAACAGCACTCAAGAAGGAAAAGAAATAATGGAGTTTTTCTCTTCACGGGTCCTTATGTGTCAGTGGTATGGTGTAGACAAGGTGATGGCAGCCATTAATGTTACCTTTGAGAGAAGTTGTCTGTCCTGCCTAAGCCAAGCAGGATCCATCAACCTTATCTTAGCAGTTTCTAGAATTCACCTAACACTGTGAGGGCTTCTGGTGAAGGATGTGCAATGGTGATGGTTGGGAGGGTGGGTTTGACATTTGGTTCCGTGGGTCTTGTGCCCAAAGAGCACTATCTAGAATATTGGTTTCTGTAGACTGCTCTTGCTGATATGCATGCACTGAAGAGATACTCTACCTATGGAGAACACCCCCAGAACACTTGAACAGCTGTCTTCTAAATAAATGCCAGCGTGCTTTGGTCTTAATCCTACGCAGATCTTCTTTTCTTGTTCTACTGTTAGGTTTTGTCTTCTGTCCTTGCAGTAGGAGATGTGGGTTTTCATATTATTGCAAACTTCTTCTTAAGATTATATGTGGCTAAATAAAGAAAAAATAACAAAGGTCTGGTGGATTATTTAAATGACACCATGGGTCTATAAAAATAAAGTGTTTTATTTAAAGGACTTAAATAATCTAGTCAGCATTGCAACAGACAGGCTGGCTTTGGCACACATAGATGTCACAGTCCTGTCTTTGCAGGACACAGGGTTAGGTATTTTACTGGCCTTGTCTGAACTTTTCATCTGCAAGAGAGCCAAACTCATTAAATTGCATCTATTAAGTACAGCAGGATTTTTATGTGTTTTGATGTTTTGTGTGGCTTCAGATGAGTCTCAGTATGTAGCTCTAGCTAGCTTGCAATTTGCTATGTAGAACTATACTCAGGTTTTTTGAAGATGGATACTAACTAGCTTTGAGGGCACACACAAGGGTAAGGAAACGGGCTAAGTGACCTGAGGCTACTCTGAGTCATAGTTGCTCAGGCCACAGATACAGATCTGATAACAGTGTATTCATTGTACAGATTTTTGAGAAAGATTTTCATTTACATCTTGAGTTGATAACTACACTACAATATGTGGTATATTTGTAGTGACTATTCAAGTCTGGATTTATATCATGTGTGTAATAAATCTCTTCCCGTTGAGCATTATAATTTAAGGTGGACACATCACACATTTAATTTGTGATCACAAGCACAATAGAACTAATTAATATATAATGCAGTGTGGGTTATTTGAAACATCTATTTCATAGCATTAGAACTTGGAATGATTTAAGTCACCTTCAGTGGACAACCATTTGAATTTAGCCACTTTTTGAAAATTAGTAATGTCAAAGTGGTGTGATAATTAAGGTAATAGTGACATTTTAAGATAGGCTCAAGCCATAATTAACACTATTGCTGCATTCCCAGTTCCCTTGAGAAGCTGGTGGTGGAACTAGTGGAAGAAGTTCTTCAGTTTGTTCCACTGCTCTTTGAATGGAGACCTGGCTCAGAGGTGAAGTGCTTACAAGCATGAAGACTGCGTTTGGATCCCCACCACTGACAAAGCAAAAGCCTATCTTGGTGCACAAATGAGGATCTCCAAGTTCAGTGAGAGATCCTATCTCAAAATATGAGATGGAGAAACAATTAGGAAGGGCACTTAGTGATCTCTGGCCTACACATGCATGCACACACAATTGCACAAACATGAGCACACAGACTCTGATGTCAAGCTGACTTGTAAGGCTGACCTAGGAAAGAAACATTAGTTTATACCAGTGTTGATACCTTTGGTTAGGTCTTACTTCATTCTGCTTTTTAAAGAGAAAGCTTGGCTAGCAAGATTGCTCATCAGGTAAAGGCACCTATCCCCCACCCTCAGCTCCCCAAGTCTGATGATCTTAGTTCAGCCCTGGGACTGACTCCTAAAAGTTCTCCTCTTACCATATGTGTATGCTCCTACCTGCCATTCATATACACAAAAATTAAGAATGTAATAAAGAACTTAAAGTTTAGGAATGACATTTATTTGATGAATATATCAGATTGTTGGCAGCAATTTCTCCTAAAAATATGTTAAAACTGAGTGCAGTTCTCCAGAAATTAATATAAGTAGAAATATTCTGAACCCAGTGATCTGAATCATTTGTGTGTATGTAATCTCAGAATTGTACAAGAATCGAACAGGTGATTGGTTACAGACAACATGAGCAGTGATTTGGGGTGGTTTTTCCTTGTCAAGTCTTTGGGTACAATCTTTACTGCCCCATGGAATAGGTTAACTAAAGCTGAAAGAAGACAGTAACTGCACACAGAACAGTTCCCTGTGCAGTCTTTGGCAGATACTCTGTAGTATTTCTTGGACACCTGTACCAAGATAACTCTTGATGGACCAAGCTGCTGTTTGTAGGAGCTCTGCATCATCCAGTGCCTGAGTGCTGGTGCATGAAAGCCTCCATGTGTTCTCAAGTCTGCGGCAACTTGCAGGTTCTCACTTGCCCTATGATCACTGCCTGGTTCTAGAGATGGGCCCACCTCTGCTCTGAGGTTTTGTAGACCCATGTGACTGAGGACCTGTTGGACACAGAATTACACAGAGTAACATTAGTAAATGGTCTATATTTGGTTAGTAAACATCATATGTCTCAGGGACTTTTACATAAATTTGTAGTTGGACTTTAAATTTGGAGATGGTCTCTTAAGTACTGAGAAGTATATATTCACCAAGGCATTAAAAACCATGTTTAAATAGTTTACCTTATTGAGAAAACTACTAGAGTCTAAGAAATAAAAGGAAGCTGGATGTATCATATACTTTTCAGTTTCAGCACTGGGGAGGCAGAGGCAGGAGGATCTCTTATTTCAAGGTCATCCTGGCCTGCATAGTTCCAGGGTGTCAGGGCTGAAAAATTAAGACTTCTGTCTCACCGGGCAGTGGTGGCACACGCCTTTAATCCCAGCACTTGGGAGGCAGAGGCAGGCGGATTTCTGAGTTCGAGGCCAGCCTGGTCTAGAGAGTGAGTTCCAGGACAGCCAGGGCTACACAGAGAAACCCTGTCTTGAAAAAAAAGACTTCTGTCTCAAAACCAAAACTGTAGCCTAGTTTTGCTTGAGAGCCTACTCATTAAAAACTGAGATGCACATTTCAACAACTTGAAGGTGTTAAGACTAACATCTTACTCAAAGTGTAGCTCAATGTAGTAACTAGACTGGAGGCTTAAAAAAAAAAAAAGATTCATGCTGGATAGTGGTGGCACATGCCTTTAATCCCAGCACTCAGGAGGTTTGAGGCCAGCCAGCCTGGTTCACAGAGTGAGTTCCAGGACAGCTAGGGCTACAGAGTGAAAGCCTGTCTTGAAAATCAAAAAAGATTTATTTATGTATATATGTGTGTGTGTGCTGTGTGTCTGTTTGTGTGCCTAGAGTGTATGCCACACATGTACAGGTACCTACGGGGGCCAGAAGACGGAGTTCTCGGAACTGGACTTTAGGAAGACGTGAATTGCCTGACATGGATACTAGAACCTTAGGCTCTCTGGAAGAACAAGAAGTACTCTTAAAACCACTGGGCCATTTTTTTTTTCTGGTCCCTCAAATATTTTTTGTTAAAAACAAACAGTATTTACCTTAAAGATCAATTTACTTGGGTTTTTATTTTTTCGGGGGGGGGGGTGTTTCAAGACAGGATTTCTCTGTATATCCCTGGCTGTCCTGGAACTCACTCTGTAGACCATGCTGGCTTTGAACTCAGAAATCCACCTGCCTCTGCCTCCCAAATGCTGGGATTAAAGGTGTGCGCCACCACTGCCTGGCTACTTGGTAGTTTTTTAAAAAGCGGAAATCAGGAACTTTTTTGGCTTTGAGCAGTTGGCCTTTCTTTTAAACCCATCTTGAGGTATAAAAGATGGGGGACAACTAAATCTAGAAGAGCCGCAGGAAAGGAAGATAGAAATAAAGAAGATAACAGTAGGAACTGCAGCCCATCTGTACCTGCAGACCCCCTGCCAGGTCGGGCCTGATGAGGATACTCAGATGCACATGAACTTCGGTACTGTGTGTCTGGCTGAAAGAAAAGAAAAGGCATCTTAGGATGTAGCTTCTCTCAAAAGATACTTGTTTGAGGCTTACAGAGAATATTAGTTCCTTTTCTGCTGCTTTGATAAAACATGAGCAAAGTAACTAAAAGAAGGGAAGGTTTATTGAGTCCATCAAGGAAGGGAAGCGGAAAGCATGGTGGCCGAACAGCTGAGAATCCACATCTTCAACTACAAGCAAACAGGAAGCAGAGAGATCTATCTAGCAATTGCTGGGAGTCTTTAAACTCTCACACACCCTCAATTGATAAACTTCCCCCAGGCAGGCCATACCTCCTCAACTGCCCAAACAGCCTCACTGGCTAGGGACCAAGTACTCAAATGCCCTAGACATGGGGAACATCTCACTCAAACCACCACACAGAGGAAAACCTTGATTTTGACAATGAAAAATTCATCTGCCAACCTGTATTGAATTCCAAGTAGAATATTCTAAGCTAGATCATCACAAAGCAAATTGCTAACTTGTAGGGATTGCATGTTCTGCAACTGTATTACTTTGTTTTTCAGAAAATCTCCATGTGGTGTAATGTTGCAATCAGATACAAAAAGATATTTTATTTTGCCTCTACTGTATTGGAATTGCAGGTTTGCAACACCATAGCTGGCCAAAAGGATGCCATCTGATGTTACAGTGTGTTATTTAAATAGAATCAACACTGTTGTGAGGGGAAAGTACCTAGAGATTCCATGTTCTTCGGCAGTTTTCAGAATGGCAGCAGTTGTAGCTCATGTACCCAACTTGACCCTTGAACTATCTACTAACAGTGGTGGGAGATTGTATTTGTATGTTTCACAGGGCTCCCATAACAAATGACCACAACGTGGGCAGCCGAAACAACAGAAAGGTGAGGGATTAGCAGATTGCTTTAGGGGCCACAAGGTAGTGACTGCAATGACTTACCATGGCTGTTGAAAAAGTAAAAAGTAAAAGTAGCCATAGATAAATGAGCTTGGTGAGTCTGCTTTAATAAAGTATTATTTACAAAAACAGGCAGTAGCCCTTGCAGAACTCATGGACTGAGGTTTTTTGACTCCTAGCCTAGACAGAAGCACCAAAGAACAGGGTTCTAGGCAATAGCTCCAGTTCTAAGGCTCAGCACTCTCACTTTCAGTTATACTGAGCTGCTACTCTATCTTACTGATAGGGAATGGGGGAAATAATGCTAAGGCAATTCTTACTGTTATAAAGTAAGCTTGTTTTTTAAAGACACTCTGAAGTGCTTTCATATGTTCAGTTTTATTCCTAAGGCAACTAAAACTGAAAGGAAAGAACATACAGAACATAAACATTGCTTAACAAACGTTCTGATCAATTATGAGACTGATTCAGACGTTCTTAGGCTTCCAGGATTCACAGTGAACCTATGAACCAGAACTTCATTTCTCTTTTGGCCTTTTCTGTGACTTTCCTCTTAACTCAAGTCTCATGAAATTCTGAGTTAAATAGTGAATGCCCTTCAAAACTCACATCATCCTGGAACTTGTGAATGGGATTTAGAAAACCATTTATTTGCATAAGTAATCAAGTTAAGGTGAAGTCATATTTTAGAGTGGACTATAAATTCAATGGCTGTTATCTTTTAATTTTTATTTTATTGAAATAGGCATTTTGACTGCATGTATCACCAGGAAGTTAAACAGACACTTGTGAGCTGCCATGTCGGTGCTGAGAATCGAAAAGACAATGTTTTAACCACTGAGCTAGCTCTCTAAACCCAACTGCTTTAACCACTTAACTAGCTTTCTAACCTCAACTGTTTTTTTTAAATTAATTTTTCTTTGTGTCTATGAGCAATGTAAGTGTGTACACACATGTGTGCACATGGCAGGGTCCCACCTTTAGTGTGGTTCTCAGGAGCTGCCCACCTTGTTTTGGCAACAGGGTTTCTCACTGGGATCTGGGGCTTATCTATTAGGCTAGGCTACACACCCATCCTGCCCAAGCATTGCAGGCAACCACAAAAGCTTTAGAGAGGTAAGAAAGGTTCTTCTCTAAAGCTTGCAGAGAGCTTCCAGTTTCTGTAACTGTAAGAGTGATACATTTCTGTTGTTTCAGCTGCTCACGTTGTGGTCATTTGTTATGGGAGCCCTATGAAACATACAAATACAATCTCCTACCACTGTTAGTAGATAGTTCAGGGGTCAAGTTGGGTACATGAGCTATAAATGCTGCCATTCTGAAAACTGCTACAGCTCATAGAATCCCTAGTTAAGCACTCAGTGTACGCTCAGTCATTTCCCTGTTTGCCAAGCCCTCTTGCCACAAAGCAGATGAGGTAGGAACCATGTACTGACCTACAGGTGTGCAAGGTCACATGGCCCTGGTCCTCAGGATTTTTTCAAGTACTTCCTTAAAAGTAAAAGGGCTAGTAAGTGCACAATAATTGAGGAGGCAACTGTCAGCATTTAACACACCCATCATGAAGAGGGTCAACTCAGCTCACTCCTAGTCCTCCACCTGACCCCACTTTATGGTGTAAATTGCATAAAAGCAGTCAGGCTGAGCCGGTATGCAGTGGAGCTTGTGTGTGCTTATGTTCAGAGTATGTTGCTGAGATTTTTATTTTATGAGTAGGGCATTTTATCACCAACAGAATGAGGCAGGGCACCACTTAGGATTTTAGGAAGACATATCTAGAATGGTATTTTATCATTAGAACATCCAACTATTTTTCTTAGAGTTAATCAAGCCTCTAGATAAGTCTTAAGTTTGCCAAACATATTCCCCTCCCCTTGCCCCACTTCTTTCCCTAACTATCAAAGACAAAGGAGCTTGAGGCAGAAGGATTAGGAGTTCAAGACCAGCATGGGCTGAGACACTGTTAACTCCTCTAAAACAGATAAATAGGAAGCACTTTACCAAAAATGACTGAGTTGTGTTGGGTCTAGAGAAGACAGGCAAAAGGAGCCTTTCTTGGGGCTGCTGGTTAGGCTCGTCCACCACTGCACTTCGGGCTCTGCTGGAGTCACCGTGGGATTTCTGTAGAGGAGACGAAAGCCACAGAAACAGCTAACTGTGCCCTGGGAGTTACACCTGTTCCGTATTATTAACCTTGTCCCAACATCAGCTGCTCTGGTACCTATTCCTAAGCAGCTCCAACTCCACTGCCACGGGCTAGAATCCGGTTTGTTTTTGGCAGAGGACAGTGTAATTCAAGGTTAAGTCCTACAGAACTACTACTGCTGGTGAGAGCTCAGAGGAAGCCTGGGAAGGCGGGGTGAAAGGCTTACCGTTGGCCGTTGTGGCCCCATGGCGCTCAGGTGTTCTACTTCAGCTGTTCCAATAGGTGGCAGCAGATTGTTCCGACCCAAGGTCATTGGAGAGGGAGAAGAGAGTGTGTCTGCTGTCACTGCACTGAAGATCCCAGCAGCAAGACCAATATGCGAAAGCAAAGTTGTAACAACACAAAGTGATGAGAAACTTGGTAAACCAAGCCCTCAACTCAGTGTGCTCAGGAGGCTTGAAGCCACCTAGATTTTCAGAATAGGGGCAACATAGAGGGTTTTTTTCCTCCCTTAAATTTCACAAATGTAACTCTTCAGCTGAATAAACAGAATGAACTCATCCAGTTTTGTATTTCACTAAAACTTAAATAAAACTTTGAGTTGGATTAAACCTGCAGACAATGCACTGTGTGACTATGTAGTCATTAACTTTTGGGCATAGCCTCCGTCTTCTACTGAAGCCTGATCTATGACGATTCTCACAATTATTGTTATTAGCTTTACCAGTTTCAGAGAGTCTGCGTTTGAAACCTACACCCGGGGTCCTCTGAGGATTTCTTCTGCAGGCCATGGTGTTCCAGCGCGTGAGTGGCTTGTGCTGATCGGATGAAGAGTACGTGGTGGGGGATTGCGCCTCCTGGCAGACTGCGTTGTATACGACAAAGATGACGTACTAAGCTCCATGGCTCGGTTTGGCCAATTTCGGTTTGAAAGGACGGAACTGGACCCAGGCCTCATAAGTAGCTTGTCATCAAGATCTCTAGTGGCCAAATCAGAAACCCACAATGAAAATCACCACATACAAGAAGACAGGGCTCAGGGTAAAAAGCCTCAACCTGAGACATTCGGGGAAGAAAAGGGCAAACTGGCTTCCAGAAGGTTATCTAAGATTCAGACATGAGAGGCTGTTCTTAGGGGGAGGGGGGTGGTGTTCAACAGCCTAGGCCAGGCTGAAATTTGAGATCCTTCTGCTTGGCCTGTCAAGTGCATGGATTATAGGAGTGTACCTGACAGTGCCCTACTTCAACCAACTTCCTAGAAAGGAGATTTGGGAAGTGCCCATGATCCACTGGCCATACAGTCACTTGTTCAGTTACAGGAAAACCAAGGCTGACAGGCACTCAGTGCTTCCCACTCAGGGTCCTACAAGATTTGAGGCACTTTTTGAGTGACAAAATGTCCTCAGAGTTAGAGACTGAGGCATCAATCAGTGTGGCTCTCATTTTGATACTGAAATATAGAGAGTTAAGTTGCAGGGGATCCAAAACCCTCCTCTGAGCTCTGTGGACACTGCATACATGCGCTACATATACATAGTGGAAGCAAGCATTTATACACATAAATAAAAGAAGCCTCTAAAGTGTTGCCTATTGGAACCACTTGCCCCTTAAATGTTTTCCTCCCTGGATGTGTCTGGCACTCAGTGGTGCAGAGGTGAGTGATGTTGCTTTCCTTTTCCTCAGCATTCTACTTAAGCTCTACAGTGTATTCCAATTCGAGCTTCTTACAGGAGCTTATCCATCAGGGAGAGATTCCTTGGCTGCAGAGGCATCCCATGAATCAAGAGGCCATTCACGTTTGGCTGATGACCACTTGCTTGACAGAAACTCATCTATATGTCAAAAGCAGACATTGGTTGGTGAAGACACCTGCTCGATTTGCTAAATTTGCAAAGTTAGTGTTTCCAGTTAGGTTATTTATCCATTCCCCCGACCTTGTGCCTTAATAGTTGGCCAGTAGCCCTCAAAGACCACCTGTCAAGAGAACAGTGTTCTTTTTGTTGTTGTTCTGTATTTCTAAGTGATAGCTCATCAATACAGATGAAAGCACTTAATAGCCACTCTCATAGGGGAGAGAGAACATTATTATTGCTTACAAGAGAAAAGAAAACCTAAATAGTAAAGTCACAACAGAGAAAATAAGTGCAAAGTCATGATCATCTTTATCAGTGCATGGTCCTAAACCCTGCAGACTTTTCTCTAACCAGCCTGGAGTGCTGGTTCCATTCACTGTCCTTTTCTATTCTTTCTTTCTTTTTTTGGTTGGTTGGGCTTTTTTTTTTTTGGTTTTGGTTTTGGTTTTTCGAGACAGGGTTTCTCTGTGTAGCCCTGGCTGTCCTGGAACTCACTCTGTAGACCAGGCTGGCCTCGAACTCAGAAATCCACCTGCCTCTGCCTCCCAAGTGCTGGGATTAAAGGCGTGCGGCACCACCACCCGGCTGGTTGAGCTTTTATATTTTTAAATTTTCATGATAGTATCTCTGTGTTGCACAGGCGGGCCTTGAAATGATGGGCTCAAGTAATCTTCCTGTGCCAGCCGTCTGAGTAGCCAGAAGTACAAGGTGCATGTCTCCCCACATCCTATTTAATAACCTAAATTCCTAAGGCTTTATAATCATAGTTGTTCTAATATGGCCTTTAACTATTGCTTTTGTCTTAAAATATTTTCCTTCCTCTTTCTCTCAAGAACTAGCTGTAACCACTTCTAATTCCAGCACTTGAGAAGCTGAGACAGGAGGGATTGTGAATTCAAGGCTGGGCTGGGCTACATAATGAAACCATCTCTCAAAATAAGTATGTTGTTATAAAATTTCAAGCTAGAAATAATGCAACCAAGGCAAACACCCAAGCAAGCTTCCTCTGGCAAGAACAGTGCTGAGTTCTCACAATCCGCTCTGGGGCTTACCGGATTTGAGGTGATTGACAGCACCTTAGACTGCGGCACTCGAGGTAAGACCAAAGGATGCTGTTCGTTCAGCACATAGGGACTTCCCGAATCCAGTCTGGTAATTTCAACGTTACTCTCATCATCTGAGCAAAGGAACAGTATCTATTATCTATAGGTATCTTCTGATGGAAAGTACTGACAGAAAATCTCCCTGACAGCTAGTAGTCTCAAGAAAGGCTTCATTTACATCTACAGATCAATTGCATACACCTGTGTAAGTTATAAACCCTCAAGCTCAGGTGTAGTTTAAAGTGGTTTCCAGGCTGACGATGGCTAGTGGTACCAAGCAGAAGGATAAACAGAGATCTATGACAACCTTTGGAATATTTTACATCGGTGCTGCCCAATGTGGTGGCCATAAGAGGCAATACAATGGGACACTTAAAATGCTGTATTCAGCAGTATAACTTTAGAACCTTCAGATCATTAATCCTGACCTCAGGTCCCATAGACAATGCCAATGAAACTAGAAAGCGTTAAAAATCATGTTTTCTACAAGAAGACCAAGTCCCCTAAAAAAGGAGCACTATCGGCTTTGGAAAGACTTCCAAAATTGGAATGAACAGACATCAAATGTACACCAAAGACTTTCTCACAAACAAAGAAACAAACACACCAAAAAAAAAACAAAACAAAAACAAAAAAAACAAAAACAAAAAAAAAACACCCTGAAAATATGAGTAAGTGCAAACTATAAAAATCAATTTTTTAAAAGAACATAATAAATCTACAAAATCCTCTAAACTAAAATGTGAGCAGAAACAGAAAACTAGGAGCGAAATCTGGGGCTGCAGAGACAGCTCCATGGTTAGGAATGCCTGCTGCTCTCCCAGAGGACCCAGAGTTTGGCTCCCAGCACCCACATTAGGCAGCTCACAACCACCTGAAACCACAGTTCTAGGGGAGCCAATAATCTCCTGGAGCTCCGCAGCACCAGCATACACATGTGCATGCACAACTTCGTGCAGACACACACACACACGCACACACACAAATAAAAATAAATTTTAAAAAGGGAAAATCTTAAGTAAATGTTAAAAGGGTTTTTCCTGTATGCAAATTATACTTTAGTTTTAAGAAAATGCACAAAAATATCCTCTTCTATACAAACAAAAACATTAAAGCTTGAAGAACAAGACTGACAAGATTGAGCACAGGAACCTATGTCCGAGTAGTGAGACTACAGACTCACCATCACTTTGCATAACTGTTGTCTACTGAACAGCGGCCACCCCTCTACGTGTGTATGATAAGAAATATGCAAGGATGTTCACAGCATTAATGCTGTAGCTGCCAAATTACATTGTACTATTTCTAAAACAAACTGATATTCAAGATTTTTGTAGTTCAGCTGGGGTGGTGGTGGTACACGTCCCAGCACTTGGGAGGCAGAGGCAGGCAGATCTCTGTGAGTTCAAGGCCAGCCTGGTCTACAGAGTGAATTCCAGGAAAGCCAGGGCTACACAGAAAGAAACCCTGTCTTGAAAAACCAAATCAAGAATTGATTTGGCTTACATTTATTTGTTTGTATGTGTATGTGTATGTATACATGTGCCATGGTGCTCCTATGGACGTCCCATCAGAGGACAACTTGACAGCTTGCTCCTTTCACCAAGTGGGTTCTGGGGAATCAAACTCAGGTTGTCAGGCTTGACAGCAAGCTCCTTTACTCTCAAGAGCCTTACCACCATAAACTGGGATTTTTGCACTTTTCAACATTAAGCACAATCAAAAACAAACTTGAGGACAAATCATGTTTCTGAGTGAAACCAATATGAACTCTTGTAGTCTTCATTGCCTCTAAATCATTTCCATTATCATCATTTCGTTCAGAGATGGTATATCTTTTCATAATCAATTAGTAGCAGTGACGCTTGTTTCCCCATTAGCAAATTAGGATTCAAATCTTGGTAATAATTTAAAGCGAAGTATTTTCTTCCTAATTTAGCATCTTGATTGAGAATGATAACAAACACAAGCTATGAGGCCTCTGAGGGCTCTAGTTAGTTCTGTGTATCTTCAGGGTGGCCCAAAGTGCACTGGGTGAGGTCGGCAGAGTATTAAATTCTATATGCAGGCAAATGCTGAAGCTCCTGTGAGGAACAGGGGCCCTATTTATACATCTGCATTTGTGAGAGATTAAGAATACTGCTTATGGGCTGGAAAGATGGCTCAGTTGTTAAGAGCTCCGGCTGCTCTTCAGAGGACCGGATTCAATTCCTAGCACCCACATGGCAGCTCACACCTGTCTTTAACTCCAATTCCAGGGTATCTGACTCCCTCACACAGACATACATGCAGGCAAAAAAAAAAAAAAACAAAAACCAAAAAAAACAAAAACAAAAAAAACAAAAAACCAATGCATATAAAAAATACTGGTTACATTACTCAGCTTTATATATTTTTGGCTTACAGAAAAACATAAAGCATAACAGGTTGTCATGTGACTAAACTGCAGGTTAGTTTTTTGTCAACACAATTTAGAGTCACCTGAAGAGAGGGAACTCAATTGAGGAACTGCTTCCATATGACTGGTCTATAGATATGTCTCTGCAGCATTTTTTTTTTTTTAATTACTGATTGATGTGGGTGGGCCCAGCCCATGGTGGGTGGTACCACCCCTGGACAAGTGATATTCTGGGGTGTATAAGAAAGTAGGTTAAGACTGCTAGATGGCTCACAATTGTCTGTACTCCAGTCTCAGGAGGTCTGACACCATCCTCCTGGCCTCTACAGGTACTGCATGCAAATGGTGCTCAGACACGCATGTAGGCAAATACATGTCAACATAAAAATAAGATAAAAATAATCTTAAAAAAAAAAAAAAGGGAAAGAAAGGTTGAACAAGCTATGGAGAACAAGCCAGACGGCAGCATTCCTCCATGGCCTTTGCTTCAGTTCCTACCTTGTTTTCCTTGGTGATTGACTAAGATCAGGACAAATTCCACCCTTTCTTCCCCAAGTTGTCTTTGGTCATGGTGTTTATCACAGCAACAAAAGCAAACTAGATCAGCTTTCTTCCTTATATACAGGAGATGTTGCTCTACTGGTTTGTTCCAGTGCCAAACAGTATGCTCTCATGCAAAGAACCACTTGGTCTATATGGAAGACCTGAATGCAAGTGTTATCTTTGCACCAAGTACAGGAGTGTTATTTACAGGCTGTTCCCAGTTTCCTTTACTCTGGAGGGCAGAGCAGAACAGAGTGGCAATGAAAATAGATAACTGTCCTTGAAAGGAGTTTTTGTCTGGCTCTGTATGACAAAAGTTCACTTTCTTTCAGGGCCTTTCAGTCAATTAGACTTAGAATTTAGATCTTAGAAACAGGGTTTTATATAGCCTGGCCTGATTTTCAATGCCTCATCCTCCTTCCTCCACTAAAGTGCTAAGATCTAGGTGTGTGCCACTACAAGTTAAGCAGTTGGTTTATTTTCCATTTGTTTGTCTATGAGGGTTTGTCTATGAGGGGGTGGGAAAGCGAGCATGAGCATATGCTGGTAGGTATCATGTGCCAAGGCATGTGTGGACATGTGCAAAGGTCAGAGAGCAACGCTAAGGAATCAGCTCTCTCTTGCCCCCTCATGAGATTGGACATAGGTCATCAGGCTTGCACACACACACCTCTACTGCTGAGCCCTCTCACTGGCCCTGACTAGGTAATTTTAATGAAGAGCATTAGTCCTGTTCTCTTGGGTCTCAGAAGGGAACACACATAGACAACATCAAACACAGCAAAGGTTGGACAACTGGAATTCACAATAGCTGAGAGAGTGTGCATAGATAAAGTCACATTAGAAAAATTTGGGGGGGAGATGCCACTGGTACTGGTATAGTTTATCACACGACCTACCAATTCTATGCACATTATATGCAAAAAACCATAAACTACCCAAATAACTGAGGGAAGGTTTCTTTTGTCTTTGCTTTCTTCTTCCCTCTCTTCCTCTCTCTCTCTCTCTCTCTCTCTCTCTCTTCCTCTCTCTCTCTCTCTCTCTCTCTCTCTCTCTCTCTCTCTCTCTCTGTCTCTCTCTCTCTCTCTCTCTGTCTCTCTCTCTCTCTTGAGATAGAGTCTCTCTTTGTATCCTTAGCTTGCCTTAAATTCAGAGATCCTCCTGTCTCTGCCTCTCAACTACTGAGAAGTAAAGGTGGGTACCTCTATACCTGGTTTAGGGGAATGGTTTCTTTTTGGTTTTTGTTTGTTTTGTTTTGTTTTTGGAACAGGGTTTCTCTATGTAGCTCTGGCTATCCTGGAACTCACTCTGTAGACCAGCCTGGCCTTGATCTTCTGCCTCCCAAGTGGTGGGATTAAAGAGGTGTGTCACCACTCCTAGTTTTGGGAAGTGTTGGGTTCTATGTAGTTAAGCTGGCCTTAAACTCCTGATTCCCCTCCTTTGCCTCTAAGCTGGGATCATATGCACACACCATCATACCTGGCTATTCTTAACATAAATTTAAAACAAAATTAATCTGTGGTATTGGAAGTCAAGAGGAGCTTCTGGAGTGCTGGTAGCATTCTTCTATTCTTGATTTGGATGCTGTTCATTCAGGAATATTTACTTTAAAATTATTTTATTTGTATGCAGTATTTGTTATTGAACTCAGAATCTTGCACATGCTAGGAAAGTGCTCTATCACTGAGCTACACTCCCACCTCAAAAGTATTCAATTTGAGACTGGAGAGATGGCTCAGCAATAAAGAGTACTTGTACCCAGCTATCTAGTAAATTTGAGTCCAATCTTCGTTGTCTCAAAAAAAAAAAAAAAAACCTATTTGCTAGACTTTTGCTTCTAGACAAGATGTAACAGTGACAGGATTTACTTACTCACTTGCTTAAAATAGCCAATAAAGCCGTAAGACATTGGCTTTCATACAGTGGACAGTGGATAATAATACAATAAAGCCGTAAGACATTGGCTTTCATACAGTGGACAGTGGGTAATAATACAACACATCCTGAAGATATAAACAAATGAGACGTGACCTACAGCTGCCTAAGATGGTTTCCAAGATCAAAAACTCAAAAGATAAGCGACAGGAAAATACAACTCATAGTGAAGAGGGTGCCAGAAGCAAGACCACAGGT